AATAAACCATGAGAATTGGACCCAGGGGGTCTCAAGTAAGCTGAGAGACAGGATAGCCACCCCCACTCCAGATCGGCCCCCCAGCTGTGGCAGCGAGGCTCCTTCTGCAGGGAGACGGCTCCTCCCCTCCTCCCGTACCATCCACTCCCTCCCTCGCCCTCCACTCCGTGCCGTTGGATTCTTCCAACACCTGGTCCCTTCTCCTGCCCGCAGCAACCAGCAGATCCAGTGTTGTTTGGACAAGATGAACCTCATCTACAAACAGTTCAAGAAATCTAGGCTGAGGCCAGGTGAGCCGACGGGGAGGGCAAGATATTCCTCTCACTCTGTCCTCGCTCCCTTCTCCCTCCCTTGCGAGTATTCATTCATAGCCTGCCAGCTGTTGCTGGGGGCTGAGAGAGCAGAGCTGGGCCCTGCCTGCCCGCTGCCTGTGGGCCAGCGAGGGGCGCGAAGCCCTCACACCCGTGCTCATTGCCACACGAGAGGCTTGGCTCACACAGGTGGGGGACACAATGGGCTGGAGCCTGGGTGCTGTAGAAGAGGTGGCTCTGGAAAGAGAGCTCACTGTGGCAGAGCACTTTACGGTTTGCACTGTGTCTTTGGGACACTGAGATAACCAGGTTTTCTAGAAAGGGGGGGATCAGGAGGAACCCCATTTCGAGACACTGGGCCAGGCGTTTTGGCTGCATTATCTACGATGCTCGCAAAGACTCTCTGGGCAGGGGCGGCCCACTCACATGCCCTGGGATAGGGAAGCCACTTGCCCGAGGTGACTGCCGTCATGGGGCAGGGTCACCCCAGGGCAGGGCTAGTGATGGGGTCGGAGGGAGCCTGGGGAGGCCCCAGCTGATACCAGGAACCAACCCTCTTGCTCCCCTCCAATGCCCTAAACATTTGCTAATATGTAGACTGGAGATCTTGGGCTTGATCTTCTATCCTTGGGATCATCTAAAAACCACCATTCAATAGAAATATAATTGCCAGCCACATATGTAATTTTAAGCTTTCTAGTAGCCAAATTTTAAAAAGTAGGAACAGGTGGAATTAATTTTAATAATATATTTTATTCAACCCAATATCTCCAAAGTCTCATTTCAGCATGTAATCGATATAAACAAAATTACTAAAGACATACTTTATGATCCTTTTTTGTGCTAAACTTTCAAAGTCCCACGTATATTTTACACTTACAGCACATTTCTATTGGGAAGCTAAATTTTTACCGAAGTGAAATATAGTCTTACCCAAATAACAGAGCTATGTTTAGTGGGGAAAAAACAGTTTACGCTGCTTCCGCTTTAAGCTTTAAATTAATTGAAAATTCAGTTCCTCAGTCACACTAGCCCCAAGTCAAGTGCTTGGTAGCTGCGTGTGTCTGCTGCCCCCGCAGTGGACACACAGATCTGGAAAATAATCCTCTCTCCTTGGGAGCTGCGACCCTGCCTCTGCGCCTGGCCTCAGGGTGTCGGGGAGAACCCAGGAGGCGGGGAAAGCGGGACTCTTCCGATCCCAGGAGACGGCGGCGCCTTGTGTCCAGCTGGACTCTTTGCCGTGATTTCAGGAGCATCTCTCAGGATCATCTTTCCATGATCCCATAATCTAAACTGGGCGCCTCCCTCGTGCTAGGCACCGTCCTGAGGGCTGTGCGCGTTCTTAAGTGATTTAATGCTCATAAAAACTCTAGCACCATTACCCTCCCCATTTCTTAGAGGAGGAAACTGAGACCCAGACACAGAAAAGGCTAAGTGGCCCGAGCTACGTAGGTCCAGCTGCTTTTGACCACCTCATTTGACAGCCTCCATGGAGTCTGACTTCGACTGGCCTTTACGAGTCCTTTCTTAAAATTCAAAATGAACCCTTAACTGTGAACACCCAGAGTGCTGGAAGGTTCCATTTCTTAAGCTGTGCAGTGGCTCTCAGGGCGCTCCTCACTTGGTCCTCACTGGAGTCCCGTGTAGGGCCCGTGACGGACGGGGACGCAGGCGCAGAGAGGTGAAATCACTTACCTACAGCCACCTGCTAGCAGGAGGCGGGGCTGGGACTTGCCCAGATCTCTTGGACTTCCTAAGTGCTCTCAGCTGGCCGCACGCAGGGCCCAGGAAGGGGGTTCTGCTATTAGGGGAGTGGAACGGGGCCGCCTACAAAGCAACCTGCACCACCATTTCATCCTGGGGCTGCCACGACCCTGGAGGGCCGTTCCCTCGAAGCCCAGGAGGGGGCAGCATGTCCCCAGTACATGAGCATTGGGGCCGGTCTCACCACTGCGTCCTCCGCAGCCCTAACGCAATAGCCCTAAAGCAAGGCCTCCGCGGCTTCTCCAGCGCCTGCCTTGCCATGATCACTTGCTCGGGTACTTGCTTCCCTCCTCTGCCCTTCCCGGCTCCATTGGCCGTGAGCTTCCGTAAAGCAGGGCCCAGGCTGAGCTGCCTTCCTCTTTGTAACTGTCCCCGACCCTCGCGGCACTCTGCTTTGTTGACTGATTGAGTAAGTGACCTCTGTCCTGTCTGTTTCCTTCAGGGCTTGGCTACAACGAGGAGCAGATTCACAAGCTGGATAAGTGAGTGGCCCGTCTGCCGGCCTGCGGGTTTGGGAGGGTGGGTGTCGCCAGGGCAGAGCGAGGAAGGGCCCTGATCCTGCCAGGCTGTGGCGGAGCTAAGGGTAACCCCATCTGGGGCAGGTTATCTGGGGCCAGTGGATGGAGGCTCCCAGAAGCAATCTGGATGTAACTGGGTTTACTTCCGGTATGGACAAGATTGTTTGCAGATTTCCTTCCCTGATTGTCCTCACTGATTTACCGCTGACCACTTCCTGCTCCTGACCTCTGCTCCTCTGTTTCCTGGACACTCTCATCATCCAGGAGGCCCTCCCTGATTTCATGGCTGTTTGGAGACTTACTCCCCCAGTTCTGCACCCACCCCTGGCCCTCCAAACACACACAAACATTCATCCTCCTTCCATGAACTGTCTCTCCTGCCCTGCCCTCTGGGGTCTGAGCTGGAGGGTGTGTGTCCCCTGAGGGCCGTGTCTCCTTGTTGAAGTGTGTGCTTTGCTGGCCACTCCCCTTCATGATCCCAGTGTGTGACTGTCCTCTCCATCCCCAGAGACACAGCCAGCCCTGCCGTGGGCTCAGGGCTTGGGCACTTATGCCACGGTGACGATGGAGACCAAGGGAGGCCAGGCTTGTGCACAGTGGCCCTGGCTGCTGATTCCTGGGCCATGCTTTCCCTGTCGTTCCAGGGTGAATTTCAGTCATCTGGCCAAAAGGCTCCTGCAGGTGTTCCAGGAGGAGTGTGTGCAGAAGTATCAGGAGTCCCTGGTCACGCATGGCAAGCGGATGAGGTAACAGTCCCTCCTTAGCTCGGGGGTCCCAGGGCCTGGCCTGGCCGTTCCAGGCTTTGGAGGACCTGGGCATTGCGGAGCCCTGACCGAGAGGGAGAGCTAGTGAAGGAGCAGGAGGAAATGAGTGGTTTGTGTGCCCGAGTGCACTGGGCAGTCGGCTGGGTGGTTTCTCTCCATGAGCTCATTTGATCCCACAGCACCTACCCTGTGCAGTAGGTGTTATCACCGCGCTCCACAGGTGAGGAAACAGGCCCGTTCCTCCCACAGCTAGTACGTGGCAGACCCAACACCAGCACATGGTATGTCGGCCTCTAAAATCTGGATTCTTCCCACTGTCCCAGCTGGCTGTGCTGCGAAATCTCTTTAGGGAGAACACAAGGTCCCTCTGGGATAAGGACAGGTGGCACTGACCCTTAAATAGAACCCCCTCTCACACTGTCCCCCTCAGGAGTTTGGGGTTCTCCCTTCTCAGACAAGGCCTGCCCTCCCCTCCCCCACCTGCCTGCGTGAACACCGGCCCCTCCCAAGAAGAGAGGGAAGCTTCCCAGGTGTGCCAGGTTCTGAGGCCTTTGCCACCTGTGCGCTTGTCACGGGGCTGAGGCCCAGGCACTCCCCACCCTCGGATCAGAACACCACTGCCCAGCTCCCCACCCCCACCCACGCCAAGTTCTGATTTACTTTCTCTGGAGTAGGGCTCGGGCAGCAGGAGATCAAAGGCTCTTCCAGGTGATTCTAATGTGTAGCAGGGCTGAGAACCAGCCACTGGGTTGACGGCGCTGGGCCTGTTTCGCTCATTCCTTCCACCTGGAGAGAGGAGAAACACACTGCAAATAGGAGTGTGGGCAGTCCCCTGCCTCTCTAGGGCCTCCCCTGGTGCCATGCTCGCCATAACTGGCATGTGTCACCCGCTGCGTGCATGTTGCCAGCTCCCCACTGTGGCTCTGCGGGGCCCTCCTGGCCTCAGTCAGACGTGCTGGTCCACATTAGTGCAGTCGGGCAGGGGACAGGAGAGGCCACAGCTGGAAGGGCAGAGGCCGAGAGGGAGGTGAGTGCCTGGGACCCAGCTATGTCCATGTGGTGGCCTGACACCAGCCAGGTGGCCCGGGAAGAGAGGGCTGAGCCTTGCTCTAATTCTAGTTCTTTATCTGCTCTCCGAAGGGTGGTGCACGAGACCAGGAACCACCTGCGCCTGGTGGGCTGTTCTGTGGCCGCCTGTAACACAGAAGCCCAGGGAGCCCAGGAGAGCCTTGGCAAGGTGGGGAAGGCGCCGGGACTCTGGGCACTCCAGGGTGCGGACTGGGGCGGTTTTGTTATCCTCTCCTTACCCTTCCTCAGCACGGCCCCTGCCCAGCCGCACGCAAGCTGGCTCATAAGAGCTGACCAAAGCCCGGCTTCCCTTCAGATCCTTGACCGGCTGTCTCACCAGCTCCTGCAGGACAGAACACAGGGCCCTCCGGCCTCACCACCCGCCGTAGCTCCTTGTCCTACACCGAAGGACCTGCTTTTCCAGTAAGTGCCGGAGAGGATGGGGTGTGGAAGAGGGTGGTGGAAGGGGGAGGGTGCTAAGGGTAGGGCCCGAGGAGTCCTGCCTCATGCCAGGCCCAAGAGGCAGGAATGCAGAGGCTGCCTCAGTGGGGGTCGGGCCTCCAGGAAGGGTCCCGGGCCAAGCTACACTGGCCTCAGCTGCCTCTCCCGCCTCCGCCTTGGGCAGCATGGAGGAGCTCTGCAAGGAGATGAAGCGGCTGGCGTTTGACCTCCAGGACAACAACCGCATCATCGAACGGTAAGGAGCTCCCACCGTGTGCCAGGGAGGGCGGGGGTTGAGCCGTCCTTGCCTCGGGCTGCAGAGTCCCTGTGCCTGCCCGTGCAGGTCTGATGACACGTGTCCATTTTCCAGACAGCCCCGCTGGAGCTTAGGCCTTGTCCACAAAGGAGTTGTCATCCTGAGGTTTCACTTACAGTTTTAAAATGTGACCCTCCGTGCTGTCAGAGAGAGGGGGGCTCAGAGGCAGGGATCTGTGCCCGTGTCCAGCTCTGCGCTGAATGTGGACCGTGCCTGGGCTTCCCCCAGATTGCCTCCTTTAATCTTCACAGCCATCATCAGAGCGGGTGCCGTTTCCGTCCCACGTCCTAGCTCGGGGAGCTGCAGCACAGGCAGCTTGGGTGCGCTGCCCAAGGCCTGTGTTTCTCTGGCCTCGTGGGGCCCCCGTTCCTCCTGCCAACGCTCACAGGCCGGCTCCGGCTGCAGGCCCAGCAGAGACCCTGGACGGGCTCCTGATGGGGGCTCCGGGGTAGTGGAAGGGGTGGTGAGGGAATGTAGCAGGGCTCAGACTTCGGGATTTTGTGTAAAATTCACAAAAGAAAATTGCCAACGACAGAGTTGCCAAGCGCCCCTGTAACAAAGTAAGCATATTTGAACGGGGGAAAAAAACCTGCCATCTTATAGCCGCACTTCATAAAGCACACTTAACACCAAAGAGACGATCTCAGAAGGAAGAATGGTCCCTGCTTGCCCTGAAGGTCAGTGGCCTATTTACATACATGTACACACGTGCGCACGCCTCCCACGTCCTCCCCAGCAGCCTCGTGTCTGTCGTTCCCCGTTTGGGAAGCAGCGGCAGGGTGGGAAGGGTCAGCAGAGATCCAGCAGGATTTGAATCCTGCCTCTGCTTCTTACCAACTTCATGACCCTGGGAGATTTGTTCAGCTCTGAGCTTCAGTTCCCACTCCTATAAAGCAGGAATAATAATTCCTACCTCGTGGCGTTACCATAGGGGAGTAAATAAAATGAAATATTCGAGGTGCCTGGGGGTGTGTGTGGAGGGGAGGACTCACTAAATGTTAATTGGTCCCCAGATGTCACACCGGTCTGAGACATTAGAATTGGGGCCAGGAGGTCGGGAAACCAGGAGCAGAGCTTGTGGTCTGTCCTCAGAGTGTCAGAGGGTCCTTGGATGAGGGGCGCATCTTCTCCCTGTCCTAGTCCAGCGAGAGGAGGATTCTGCCTCTTAAATACCCACAAAGAGGAGATTCCACAGCGTCTTGGAAAACTTTCCAAAACAGCTCTCTTGAGCAGGAAGTTCTAATTTTAGTGCCGACATAAATTTTTCTTGCTGTGATATGTAATCTACTTACAGACAGCTCAAAACTTTATTTTAATGAATTTTCACTTCCTTATTCAGAGCTGTAGCCAAGGAGCCAAATGACCCATTCGAATTCCTTTTCCCTCCTCCTAAACCACGGCTGCATGTTGGAATCACCAGGGGAGCTTTGAAAAGTACAGACGCCTGGGTCTTGCCCAAGAGATCTGGGTGCAGCCTGGGGTGGGGTTTTTAGAAGCTTCCCAGGTGATTCCAATGCGCAGTCAGAGACGGGAAGCAGAGGGATCTCGGGGAATGAAGACGCTACGAGAGGAGAGCGGAGGACTCGCAAGGCTCAGGGAAAGTCGACCGTGCCGGGCCCTGGGGTGTGGTCTGCAGGCTGCTCTGACAGGTGGGTGAGGCTCACCTGTGCCTTTCCTTGCAGGTTAAGCAGAGTCCCAGAAGCTCCTGATGTCTGAGCTCCCTGGGGTGCACGAGGCTTCCTGAAGCATTAGAATGATTCAAACACTGCTCTCCTGCACTGTGGGACCCAAGCCAGGGCGAGATCTGGTCCCATCTCACCAGCCTACCTCCCTCCTGGCCAACGGCCGGGAGATGTCACCAGCATTATCTTTCGCTGCCTTTTTCCGCGGAAGCAGCGCAGCCGGGACTGGGGCACCAGGCCGTCTCTGCCCAGACCCACAGGGAGGAGTGTGGCGGCCACTGCCTGGGCTGACCTCTCTGTCTTATCCAGACTCAGATACTGCTCCTCTGTCACCCTGGCCTGTATGGCTGAACCTGGCCAGGCCGTGGGGACAAGTGTCTCCAACATGCCCTCCCACCCTGCCTCTGGTTTACAGGGCTTCACTCCCTGGGGAACAGCAGAGGAGACCCAGGGTTCTGGGTCAAACGGCCTCATCTCAGTGTTCCTTCCTCCTGAGGAGTTTCACGTTGGACACAGCTTGTCCTGGGGCTTCTGGAGTCACCACGTTCGGCCCCAGGCAACACAGAGCCTCATTTTCCTTCTAGTCGTGCTCTGGCTGAGCCTAAGATTGAGCAAATGAGTGATCCAGGCCAGGCGGCAGTGTCTCGGGGACCCTCTCCCGCTCTCTGAGGCCCCACCTGGCCCAGCGACACGCAGCCAGCCAGCAGTAACAGGTGGCCACGCTCGTGAGCACAGGCCTGTAAGCCAGCACCCGCACCTTCAGGAAACGGAATAAACGCCTTCTTTTCTACTGCCGTCGCCCTCTGGGCTGTGTCTGGCAGGCTCTCAGTGGTAGCCGCTTGGCAACCGAGCAGGGCCTGGGTGGGGATCTGTGGGAAGTGTTAGGAAATGGAGACTCGTCATTTCCCAATTCCCGCCTTTCCCCTAAATGGGCCCTAATTTCAGGGAAGCGCCCAAGGAAGATGTCCCCTGCTGGGAAGGCCTGCCTTCCCATTCCTTCCATTCTCCCGCCCCTGTCATTTGGGGAGCTGTACAAGGGACCTGGAATTTAGGGAGAAAGAAGGTCTGTTTTTTTAACTCAAACCCACCATCTAAGTGCCTGCTGCTTTTTCCCATCCCCACCACTGCTCAAAACTTAGGCTGTGCCCTAAATATTGGGTTTGAGTACTACTAGAGGTCGTTTTAAGCATTCTCTCATTTTGTCTGGAAGCGGTGGGCAAGGCATTCTAGTTTGTGCAAACTGCTCGCAGATTTAGTCTTCCCCCTGCAATACCTCCAGCCTTCCCTTAAACCAGAGCTGCACTACCCAGCTGGCCTGGGGCGGGGGTGGAAGAAGGGGAAGGGGAACGCGGTAAGATAGCCCCAGGAGGGGGAGATGAGTGGAAGCCCCACTATGGGCTTTGCAGTACGGAGACATTACACTTGACCCCAGAGATCCCCAGAGATCCTTCCCACCCATCTTCATGGGAGCCGCCACATCCTGAGCCTCCTCCACCTAGGGACACAGCAGGGCCACGAGTGAGGAACCGCGAGTCCTGGAGGCTGCCATCCTCTGTGCTGCTTCTCTGTGGAAAGACCCAGGGGAGGGGTGCTCGAGGCTGTTGGCGTGCATCAGGCCTAAGTGGCTCCGTGATTGCTATCTGGGCCTCAAGCCCATGGAGTCCCTTAAGCCTGTGGGTTCAAGTCCTGGGGCCTCAGGGGCCAGCTGCTGCCTTGATGCCCCTGGGCACTGTGCCACCTCTGGTTGGCTCTGCCGCCGTGAATTTCGGCCCCACGCTTCCGCCTCATCAGTGGCCCTTCAGGGAAGTCCCACGGTGGGTTTTCCCGGCAGCCGCAGCTGCTCTGGGCCCCGCGTGCTTGGTGGAGCTCACTGAAAGAGCCAGGGGATCCCTGAAAGCCAAGTGCAGATTTCTGGGAGATGATATGATGCGGGCTCTAATGACATCACAAGCAACGCCCATGAGCCGTGGGGGACATACTCACTCCAAGGCTTCTGTCTGTTTCTACGCTGGGTGGAGTGGCTGGCATGAGTGCCTCCCCCGATCTGGAGTTCTGCAGAGCTTCTGGGTGCACCTCAGTAGGAGATGAGCAACCTGTAAGATCTCAGGTGTCCGAACTCCTCTTAAACTTCCCTCTCTGTTCTATGCACTGATTCCTATAGAACCCTGAAAACAAAAAGAGCCTGTTTAGGTCACCAGACATGAACTGAGCACCTACAGTGTGCCAGGCCCCGTGCTAGGTGCTGGAACTACAGAGGTGACTAAGACACCTTGCCTGCCCCTGAGGAGCTCACCTCTATGGGGTCAGGCAGGCATGCCAACAGGTAGCCCCAAAGTCACAGTGTAGGCGCTAGGATAGGAATGCATAGCTCAGGTGTAGTATTGAGTCACCATCATCACAGGGGAGGGTGTCAGGGAATGACTTTGGGAGCAGGTGACTCCAGAGTGGAGTCCTAGCAGGTGAGCAGGTGATACCTAGCCGAGGAAGCACGGAAGGCATTCCTGGCAGTGTGAGCAGCCGAGGCACAGGGACAGGAGGAACTACGAATATTTCTGTGTCACTGGAGAGCAAATGGAAGTAGTAAGTTGGTGTCGCAGAAAGGGAGGAACCAGCCCCAAAAAGTCCTTGCAGGCCACATTAAGGAACTGGAGCTTGACCTCAAAGAACCATAGGTAGGTTTTAGGTCCAGTCCAGCTGGAATTTTAAAGATACTACTCTTTGGTGCCTGTATGGAGGGTGGAAAGTGGTGGGCAGGAATGGATTAGGTATTTCTGTAAAGTGCCTAAAATACAATATTACTGCTATGCACATCCTCCCCACCCCGCACTTGGCTATGGGGCCCCTCTGCAGGGTGGGTAGAGAAAACAGAAGTTCTTGTCTCAGGCTCAGTTAGAGGCTCCTATCGGCCACAAATACCTGGGAAGAGTCTGTGTGGCATTCAGATTCATAGCAGGTGTCTTCTTAAAACAGCCTGGCTCGAGTTAAAGAGGACCTCGCTGGAAGGGTGCAGGGTACGCCCCAGCTCCCCACGCTGGAAGCACAGTCAGCTTGGAGGGCCTGGTGCTTCTTTCCGTGCCTTGGTGCTGCAGAGCTGTCCCTCTGATTCTTTCTCGGAATCCCCAGTTTCCTCTTCTGAGACTGGTGTCCTGGTTCAATGCACAGATCCTAGGACCCCACCCAGCTCCCGAATCCAACCCACAGGGTGTGGCCCGGGCATATGCATTGTCAATGAGCTTCCCTGGGGATTCTTACACAAGCTAAAGCTTGAGAACACTGTGGCAGCAGCGCTTGCAAATGTCCCGCAGAGGACATGTGAATGGCCCACCAATGGCCAATTGGCAGCAGGTGGTACACGGGGTGCCCCACGCCATGCCCCACCCTGACAGCTGAGGCCAGGGAAGCCAGTCTGAGGACAAGCTGGATCTTGACCATGGCCTGGCTACCTTCGTACTGGAACCACCGCTTGCTTTCTTGGAGCGGCCTCACTTCAGCACCCTCAAAGGATTGCTGCAACTGGTCATTTGGGTTTGCGTCCAAGCTGCCTCATTGAATTTGTGAAGGGTGGAGCTCCTCCTGGCTGCTTTCCCTCCGTCTCACAAAGGATCCCTAACCAGGCAACCCCAATGGGAGGTGCTAAGGAATGTGCCAGGATGACCTGAAGTAGCTTCGGTTTATTTTCCTTGGAAGCTCAGAATCACTGCCACTTGGAGCAGTGGGTCCTTTCCCTGCACCCTTTGCGGAGTGGGGGAGGGCGAGATGAGAAATGGGAGTGAGGAAGGAAGAGGGAAAGGGAGAAAGAGAAAGAGTAGGGAGGGGGCAGAGGGACCCACTGACCAGACCGACCCACCGAGAGACACTGAGGAAGAGACCGATGGGGTGGGAAAGAGGTGGCGCAGGGATAGCCGTGATGTCATCCAGGCCACTCTGCTGTCACTGGTCTGTCCTAAGCCCAGTCGGTGGCTCCCTGCCACAGCGATGGGCGCAGAGCCGGCTCAGTGCCGGGATGGAAGCGGCTGTGGCTTGGAGCCTCCCCTCTGGCTTAGGGAAACGCTGCGCACAAATCTGCCTGGGATATCTGAGTTTTCCAACACGGGAAGAAACACAGACACCAGTCTTATCGTAAGCCTGGCAGAGTGGCTGGGGATGGAAAAAGTCCACAACTGAGGCACAGACGGAGGAGGCGCCACTAAACTGGTGGAAAATAAGTCTCCACCCTACATGGTGACAACTTTCCAGGAACCCTCATATCCCTGCTCACGTTCCCACCCTGATTTGCCCTTCTTGTCCCCAAGTACTATCAAGGACCTAGGAGATCCCCTTGGGAGCACTGGAGTTTGGTGACACACAGAAAGCCCATCCCACTGAGAGTGGATGTGGTGCCCTGCTAGCCCTCACTCCCGGCCAGTTACAGGCATCTGGAGCAGGAACTCCACCCCATTGACCAGCATCCTGGAGCACGTACGGGAGACTTCAGAGTCCCAACACCACCCCTACTCTGCACAGCCCCCGCAGGTCTTCTGCCACCCTCCCTAGACCAAATGATCCCTTCGTCTCCCCGTCCCTGGGTGCAGGGGCCATGACTTGAAGGGATGTTAAGGGAATAGGTACAGTTGTGAGTCTATAGCTGAGTCCATATCACTAAACATTTAACGAGCACCTCCTATGTGCCCTGCACGGTGGAATCGGAAAGACCAAAAAGACCCAAGTGAGGGAGGCAAAAATGTAAAACTTAACTGCGACTCACGTTAGGATGACGTGAATGTTAGAGACACAAGGGACTTGTTTTGGGAGCCCAGCAGGAGCGATGAATTGAATCTGGATGACTCTGGGAAGGCTCTTTGCATTTGGACTAGACCTTGAAGGTAGAGCAGGTTTCAACAAGGAGAGGAAACTGGGGAAAGACTTTGCCGATTCTTCAAACTGCACCTACAAAGCAAGGTCACAGATTCTAAACACTGTCCTTTCTATCACACCAGCTGCGCAGCGCAAAGGCAAATCATGAATTTGAGTCCAGACTGGGACATCTGTTTGGACCAGTCACATGACTTCTCTGAGCCTCGATGTTTTCATCTGTAAAATAGGAATGCCAGCTGTTTTACAGAGTTGCCATGAGGGTGAAATCATGTAAGCCAAAAGTACTGACCCCGTATTAGATGCTCAATGCATGTTTCTTGAGCAAATATGTATCACATATGACATTTTACAACAGACTTTCAGAGACACAGCCTGATTATCCAGCAATGGTCTGTCACGGTCCCTGCTCATAGTCTAGTAATGTAAAATATTCCTGACCCCCGTCACTCGTTGCGAACAATGCTCAGGTCTCTGGGAGGCTGAGCTCTGTATGCAACATGCTGCCCAAGGAGGGCAGGAAGCAGCGCTGGGCAGCTGTACTTCCGTAGGTAACAAGGATAAGGGTGTCATTCCTCAAATGCCTGTGTTGGGGGGGGTGGTTACACAATTTTAACTACCCACTGCTGCGGCCCCCGTTTTCAAAGTGTGGTCTGTTAAGTCATGTCAATCAAAGTCTCTTGTAAAATACAGGCCGATATCCAGACAACACACTTGTGAATAAAGTTTGGGAAAGTCTGGGTTCTCTTGTGCCTGCTGTTCTCTTAGCCTAGAGCGCTTTTGCTCTGTTCAAGTCTATGTTTAAATGTTTGCTCATCAAAAGGGTCTTGGTGAACACCCAATCTAACAAAGTAGCCCCTGTCACTTTTTATTCCCTTAATGTGCTTTATTTTTCATCAAAGCACTTACAACCTGACACCATATTACGCTTAGGTTTATTTGTTTATTGTCTGGCTCTGCCACGAAAATGTGAGCTTCACAAACATGTCCATCTCACTGTTGTACCTTTAGTGCCTAGGACAGCACCTGACACATAGTGGATATTAGAGGATTACTTGTTAAATGAATCGTAACTGTTCTATGCCCTTGAAGACTGCACTGGACACTGGTGCTGACTGCCAGCTATTTCCAGCTCTTTCCCCATTCTGAGCACACAGTAGAATTGTACCTATTGCTCCCCTTTGCAGGGTGGAGCCATATAACTAGTTCTGGCCAATGAGCTGTGAGCAAAAGTGACTGGAGCTTTTAAACGCTGATGCCTGATCCTCCAAGACCTTTCCATTTCCCTCTGGCACAGTGGCTGGCAATGCTAGACATGGTGACCCTGATGAGCAGAGTGCCTCTGCCAGCCTGCAAAGGGCATGTAACGTGAGCGAGGAAGAAGTCTCCATTGTTTAAAGCACTGAGATTTGGGGCTTGTTTATTACTGCAGTATAACCTAATTTGTCCTGACTGATACAGTAATTCTATGTAGACAGTTGCACAACTGTCAGAGTCCCTAGGAGTTCCCTAAAAGCTTTGGGGATTTCAGGAGACTTCAAATGCCTCAAAGCAAAACAAAACCTAGAATTTCCCCTTCAGGAAGTCATGCCATATTCTGTCCTTCCCTTTTCCTTCCTACTAGTGGAGTGGCTGGGGGGAAGTTGGGGGCAGCCTTGAAACAACTCATCCAATAGAGAAACCAACACGCTCTGGGACCACCTCTGAAGTGACCTCACGCACTGACCACACACCCAAAACTCGCTGTCATAATCCTTCCCCTTGGTCAAAAATAAAAGCAGCACACCCACTCTGCTGGGAGTGAGTCACAGATAGGAAAAAATCAATAGCTCTGAGCCAAGAGGATCTGCTAACAATGGGAAAAACTCCCAGTGGAGGTGTCTCGGCAGACGCTGCGGTCTTACACTTGTAGCCTGGATGACCAAAGACAGATCCAAAAAATGTGAAAAGTCCAGGCATCAGACACTTCGCTGGGGAAGGAGAAATACTGAGTTGCTACTCTGTGTGTGTGTGCGTGTGTGTGTGTGTGTGTGCGTGTGTGTGTGTGTGTGTGTGGTGGGAGGGGATGCGGTTTCAGGAAAGAAGGCACCGAGGCAGGGAAGATAGCATCAGAGGAGGCAAGGTCCAGGCAGGGAGCCTCCGGTTGAGGTTGAGGGAGGCAACTACTTCCTCTGACCTCAATTTCTTGGCTCAAGGAGATGAACCTTACGATAAACTTGACAAACGTTTTGGATTGGTTACATGCAATTACATTATCTCCATTTTCATCTCTGTTCCCAACTGAGAAGCCACGTCTGGCCCTGCACAATCCCCTCCCACATTCAGCCCTGAGAGCAGGCTCCGCCACTCCATCAAACAGAGCTGCAGCAGGCAAACAAAACCCAGAGCATCCTTCTGTACGGCTCAGACAACTGGGAAGGCTTTTATGCCTGCTTATTCCAGAGAGTCCCCAGTTTCCCACGGCCAGAGTTGACGATCACCCCTGTGAGCCCCTGTACCAGGGAGCTGGGCTGAGCCCAGGGAATCTGGGCTGGGGGGAAGGACAGAAATGGAGTTGTTGGCAATTATTTCACAAATGGCATTTCTAAACTGATCTTCCACTGGCGTACTTTTTGCCAGATCCCTGTTGCTTCTTGCCACACCAGGCTGTCGCCTAGAGCTCAAGTTGGGTTCATGCCCTGGACCTCACCTTGCCCACCACCCTACTAGGAGGAAGTGATCACCGAGCAAGTTTCAAGCCAGTGGAGATGAATGGATAGCATAGGGTGGACACAAGCAAACATTTATAGGCAACACAGGTTTCTGCAACAACCCCAAGAGAACTGGTTGCAGAAAAAGTGGGAGAGATGGGAATGAGACCACAAAAGCAAGATGTATTTTCCCTTCTGCAGAAAGTATTCGGGAATAGCCCCTGTTGGGTTTTTCTCAGTCATGTCCCCTGACATTCACCAGTTTTGTGGGAAGAACAGAGAAGCCCATTCTCTTATCACCATCTTAGAGCTAGAGTAGTGGCTCTCAGAGTGGGGGCCTTGGGTCAGCAGCATCAATAGCACCCGGGCACTTGCTAAAAATGCAAAATCTCAAGCCCCAGCCCCAAACCTACTGATTCAGAAACTCCGGGATGGAGCCCAATAATCTGTGATTTAATAAGCCCTCCAGGTGATTGTGATGCATGCCAGGGTTTGAAAACCACTGATGTACGGAAAGCAAGGTTCAGAAAGGAAGAGGAAAGGTGGAGGAAGGGTGGAGTGGAGGGGGTCGCTTGGGGCTCACACTCCCCTTCCCATCTGAGCTCCTTCTGTTTTGTAGCACTGTGGGGCTGGTGGCCCCGTGGGTCATTCCTCAGAAACCACCTCGTGAGGGGAGAAGCTCAGGCTTCTGGTGAGACAGAAGTAGTTGCCCCAGACCAGGGACCTGTCCTGTGCCACAAATCCGGGAGGCGGAGGACCTTATGATTACCACCACCACCATGAGCGAGAAGCCATAGACTAAAGCAGGCTGGGAATTTCCTGGCCACTGGACTCAAAAATTTTAGGAATTATGTAAAAATTACCTCCAAGGGGAAAACAGCAAAAGAGAAGATTCCCCCACCAAACATTAGGGGAGACCCATCTCTGGCCTGGGAAGAGGAGGAAGAGATTTGAGTCCAGAAGAATTTAGACTACTCCCAAAGTTGGTTGCTGGTGACCATTGCTAAATTAATCAAATGGAACTCGTGTTTTAAGAGGAAAAATGCGATCAAGTCAGAGCAGTGGAACTGGAGAGTACCACGACAGCATCGCTGGTCTCCCCACCTCCAGCCCAATTTACCCTAAAGATAACCCGGGCTAGAGGGGACCCAGGGTCTGTAAGGGTCTTTGCTGGTCCCGGACAGGATACACAAATTCAAAGATCCAGGAGTCCTGGCTCTGCCAGTTTCCTCATCCACGAGATGGGCCTGTCTCCAGGGCAAAGTGCTGGTCAGGAATGGCTACATACTTTGCAGGAATCAGTGCAAAAAGAAAATGCCCTTTGTTCAAAAATTAAGACGTTCAAGATGGTGACAGCAGAGCATTAAACCAGGCAGGGGCCCATTAAGCAAGGCTTCGTGGGAAAAAGTGCTGGGAGAAAAGAGATCGCTCTTTGGGTCCCACAGGTGAACTGTCTACAGCAGGTACAAAGCAGGGCATTGAGGGGGACTGGCATTTCTACAGCTGTAAGCCGGGGAGAGGAGCTTTGGCTTAGGAAGAAAAACTCCCCCAACTCACGGTTGGGGCGGGCGCCCTCATAGTCCAGGGCCCACGATCACCATAACCCCCGTGTTCCGGGAAAGAGGAATGTCCTACCGGGCAGGGCTGCTGAGGAGGGGAAATCCAACCAGAGTGAAAGCGGCACGCGGACAGCTCCGCCAGCAGCAGAGGCGGCTGCCCGCGGTCAGCCTCGGGAGCGTCCCCAGCGCGCCCGCCCGTCCCTCGGCGTCACGGGGCCCGGCGCTGCGGCGCGCGAGCGGGGCCTTCCCGACCCTCGCGGGGCTGGGCTCGCGCGGGGGCGGCGGCCAGCGCGGGGAGGAAGAGCAACCGCGCACAGGCCTGCCCGGCGCCAACCCCGGGAGGGTGGCAGCGGGCGGGCACCTGGACGGAAGACTGACCCCTGCCGAGACCCCATCCTCAGCCTCTTCCCGCGCCCTCCCCTCCCACCTGCCGCTCACCTGCGCGCGTGGCGCGGCGGGCGGGGGGGGTGGATCTGGTGTCGGGGAAGTGACGGGAGAGGGACAGGGGCAGGGCTGAAGGCCAAGGGCCCCCTAAAGAAATGCGTCTTCCGGGCTGTACTGTATGGAGCCTTTCCCATGCGGAATCCTTCGGCTGCCCCGGTTGTCCGGTCCGCTCCCTGACGCCCCCAAATCCACGCTCGCTCAGACACCGCCCACCGCCGACCCTGCCCCTCGGTCCGTCGGTCTTTCCCTCGGTTTGTCCTTCCTCCCCTCCGAAGTCCCCGCCCCCGCCCCGCCCCGCGGGCTGCGGTCCCTTTAAAGGCGCGCTGCTCTGGGGCCGCCCCTTCGCTCGGGGCTGGCTCGGGAGCGTATTCGCCGCCGGAGCCGCCGCTGCCGCCGCCAGCCGGGCATGGCCATGGCGTCCCCGGCCATCGGGCAGCGCCCGTACCCGCTACTCTTGGACCCCGAGCCGCCGCGCTATCTGCAGAGCCTGAGCGGCCCGGAGCCGCCGCCGCCACCGCCCGGCCGGTCCTCGCGCCGCTGCGTCCCCGCGCCCCGCTCCACTGCGCCCGGGGCGCTCGAGGGGAGCGGCGCCCGGAGGGCTGCCCGGGGGAACCTGGAGCCCCAACCCCGGGCTTCCCGACCGGCTCGGCCGCTCCGGCCTGGGCTGCAGCAGAGACTGCGGCGGCGGCCTGGGGCTCCCCGACCCCGCGACGTGCGGAGCATCTTCGAGCAGCCGCAGGATCCCCGCGTGCCGGCGGAGCGAGGCGAGGGGCACTGCTTCGGCGAACTGGCGCTGCCGGGCGGCCCCGGCTGGTGTGACCTGTGCGGACGAGAGGTGCTGCGGCGGGCGCTGCGCTGCGCTAGTAAGTGGGAGGGCAGGGGAGGGGCGCGCGGGAAGACCGCAGTCCAGGGGCTGGGGCAGAGAGAGACGGGCCACTGCCCTCTCTGGCTCCAGGGGAGCCCCACTTTGAGGGAGGTAACCCTAGGAGACACTCTGCTCCTCAGCGCCCTGCCGGGTATCCTTTAGAGAGTGCCTTCTGCCCAGGTGTGGCTATGCAGTATTTAACAAATACCTCTCTCCCGGCAGGTGGGTGCCTCGGCCCTCCCCAAACACACACACACACACACACACACACACACACACACGCGTATGCACGCAGGCAGGTTGAGGTCGATGGCCGCCACCGCAAGGTCATTCCGTTGTCCCCCCGTGCAGCCTCATGCTTTTGTTGTGAGTTCTTAGGGGGGGGGGTGTGAGACTGCTGTTGAGATGACCGTTTGACCCTTGCTTATTGGGTTAATGGCCAAATGGCTTGTTTGTCCACCTATGGTACAGGCTCGGACCCCGCCTCCAGGGGGACCTGGCGGGACAGGGAGGAGACCTGGTTAGGCTTTGGATGGAAGCAGGCTGTGAGGCTGAAAAGAGCCTGAAGTCATCCTGAACCTGCACCCGCTCCTGCCTTCCCCCTGTGACCCCTCAAACCTTTGGACTCTGTTCCAGTGTCTGGCTGTGTCCTGCCTCCTCCTCCTCCTGGGTTCCTGCACCAGTCCTCGCGTTCTAACATTACCCAACTCCTGGCAGGGTCCCCTCTTCTGCAGGGCTCTCAGGCCCCCCGGTTGCCTCCTAAAGCCATAAAACACTGGGCACCTACTGTATAGATTTTCTGAGCAAATCTGCAGTCTTCTTGGGGATTTATTGTTTTTCTTCTCCTACAGTTAGGTATGTGTATTCCTTTAATAGGTGTTCTCCCTCCACCCTCACCCCTGTATTTGCTGTAGCTGTGTCTGGCAAAGGAAATCTGTAGCCATGTGTTTATGTGTCGATGTAGATATTTTAAATATCTGAAGCACAGAGCACAGATAATGGCACAACCTCTTATGAGCATCTCTGGAAATGGATTGTGGTTTGCATCTTTCCCTTCCCCCATGACAGCAGCTCCGCATGTCCCATCTGACCGGAGCATTGGACAGCAGCAGCTACTTCCGCGTCAGGAAGCCCTACCTTGCTTCTGTCTGCAGACACAGCCGAGGCTGCTCAGTGTGCAGCCCACTGCAGCTGGCAGCGGGGAAGGAGAGCTCAGACTCTAAGCCAGGGTCACGTGGAAGGGGAAGATTGGAGGGGAAAGTGGGAGCTGCTTTTTCCATCACCAGAACTCCCAATTCAGTGCTAATTAAGCTAATTAAGAAGGGAAGAGCAGAAGTTATAGAGGCACATGTTGTGGGAGGAAGGGCTGCTGTCACTCCGTAAGTACCTTCGACCTTACAGTAGAATCCATGTGTTGGCAGCTTTTGCCTTCTCAAGAGTTCTTTGCTATATCCACCAATCCCCCACACAGGGAGAGAGGCAGGAGCCTCACTGTGATGGGTTTTATTGTGCTGAAATCCCAGGAAATGTGCTTCATTGCCTTTCTAGTTTGTATTTAGACTTTGGGGGACTATATCAATTGTTGAATGTTTTGTACATAGTTTTATGACTGGTGATAATGGCGTATTTGTATGTCTTTGCATAAGCATATGTATGACACTCCATGATTAAATGCATTTATCCTCACATCACATTAGAATTGTTTGTTTCCTTTGATTGGTCATGAATAGTTGCCAGTGGCAGGAAGACCCAGGTCCCCGGGTGGTACCTCTGTCTCTGTGTGTGACTCGGTAAGGTCTTCACTCCCATACCCCCCCACATAGTTGGTGTAATTCCAATTAAGGATGTCTGAACACCAGAGAGGAAGCAGAACTGGAATCAAGGGGCTACAGAGAGGAGCTTCTGTTTGGCATTATTAATATTTAACTAATCGTGAACCTGTGGCTGGATGGGAGAAGTTGAGAAATTTCTGATGTGTTAGTGAGGGCTGTTAGATGGAGATACAGCAGGCCAAATGCACCAGGCATCTTTCTTTAAGCTGAAGGTCTAATTCCATGGCAGTGTTGGTTTGTCTTATCTTCATTTTGAAAAGCAAGGGTCAGAAATAGGACCTTCAGAAGGCCATATTATGTAGCGATGAAGAGCAGGGACTAGAACCAGAGTCCTGGGTTTTAATACTGACTGTCACTTACTCCCTCTGTGACCTTGGGCATCTTTGTGTTCTGTTTCCTTGTTTAAAAAAATGGGGATAATAATATTACCTACTTCATCATGTTACTGCGAGAATTAAATGGATTAATATACGTAAAGCACTCGGAACAGTGCCTGGCAAGATGCAATCTGAATGTTTAATAAGATATAAATGCTATTATCCCCTCCCATCTAACATCTGTAACAGTTAGCCTGGGCTCACGACATCTCCTACAATCACCTTTCCAAGCAGTAAGTACAGTGTTCAAACTCTGCAAGTCGCTAAGTAGAAAAGGAGTACTGTAAGAATCCCAGAAAGTTCCGGTAATGCCACTCCTGCCTGATGTCCTTTGGGGAAGGCTGCTGTGGCTCACGGAATGCCGGTGGCTGAGACCCTTCCATGCCTGGCCTAGGGGCCACAAAGACATTGGCTCCTTGTCTCTATCACTTGTACCCAGTAAGTGCCAGGCACAGAGCGGGGTCTCAGTAAGTGGCAGGTGATGAAGGTGGTGGCTTGTTTGTACTATTAAATCTCCCTGCTCTTGGAAACAAGCAGGAGGGCAGTGGGTATGTGAATGACATCTGTCTGTACAGGAGGCTGACACAGGGTGGGAGCCGTGTTGGCAAAAGGGACTTTCAGTAAGGGAAGCTTTTAGGAAACTGTCTTCCCACTGTCTGCCTGCCTTTTTAGGGAAAGTTCACCTAACTTAAGCTTACCCCGACTTCAAGGTCCGTAACTAACCTCTGGTTAATGCTGGATTCTGTGAACAGGGAAGTTCAGAGTTAATACTAATTTCTAGGATCAAAGAAATCATGTTTGTTAGATAGAGAAGGAAATCCAGTGCAGACCGGTGGAAAGGCAGAAGGAGAGAGAGAAAAAGAAAGATCGCATGAATGCACGTGTGTGTTTTGGGGTGGCGGTGGTGGTAATCGTGAGAATCCACTTCCAGCACTCCAGGAGGGAATAGTCAACAGCAAATAACCCAAGAAACTCGAAGGCTGCCCTTTGGCTTTGTTCTCAGGGACTGTCCCTTACAGGTCATGGACCCTTTCTTCTGTAGAAGGCACATGGGGACGGCCTTTTACCTTTCATCTCATTTTGGTGGGTATGGACCAAACGCATCCTGGACCAAACGCTCCTGGAGGAGATGCTTAGACATACCTTGGACGCAGTTAGTGAATGCCACCTGTCTGTTCCTGGTGTGAGAGTCTCTCCTCCGAGGGGGAGTTATTCAGAGCTATGAAGCGTTCAGTGATTGGAATTACAGGGTTGAGAGGGAGGCCCAGGGGCTCATCAGCTTAACCTCTCCCTCAGGTGGCAGACTTTAATTGCAGGTGTGAGGATGAGCTGTTTGCCATGCAGCTCTCAGGGAGGGGCATAAAGGCATTTTTTTGTTGAATGTGGCTGGAATCGCACAGGCCCCCTTGTCCGGCCTCTCTAGTCTTGGTCCTGCACTAACGGCTGGGTTCAACTTGGCTCTGCATGACTGGAGCCGCCTGTGTGACAGTCCCGGGACCCTGCACACCCATCCCCTGTTGTGGGTTCTTTGCAAGAGGCTACCGGTGCCTTGGCATTGACGCTTCCTGTAGCAGAGAAGGGTCAGTCTTTATTTGAGGAATCTTGCAAAGTGTCCTGTGTCGTCCTGGCGGCTCTTGTATTTATTTACTTAGTGCACTTGGAAGGTATTTGTGCAGTGTGTGGCTTGCATTTTCATTGATTTAGGTTCATGTTTGACTTTGGAGGTTAAGAAAAGCGCCGAGATGGATATTTTGTTGTTAGAGATGGTGAAAATGTCTCACCCCCAATCCCTCCCCTACCCCTAGCTCTAATTGGGATTTTTTTCTCGGGAAAGGTCCTATTGGAGGGTGTGTGTGTTAGGGGACAGGGGAGAGGACCCAGAGTGCTTTCAAAGAGGCCTTCTGAGCTTCCCCGGCTGCATCCCGTTTTCCTCTCTTCCCTGCTTCCTGTCTTCTCAAAAGATGAAAGTGAAAGGATTAAATGTGGGCTTAATTTTCCCCACTATTCATCAGAGCGTGAAATTTTCTGATTATGGAGTGTGGGGGGCTTGAATCCCAGGTACAGTCAAAAATGATTAATGCCACTTGTCTGCCAGCCTAATTAGACTTGGTAATGAAGGCGCGTGTCTGCCTGCTGATCCCGCGCAGTTATTAGGTGGAGGGGAATTGACGTCCCCCCTCAGCACGGAGGGCTCCGTCTGGGAGCTTTTCTCTGCTCCCGAAGTTTACTGGCACATCAGCCTGTGCCAGGCCTGTGACAAGGAAAAGACAGCCCCCAGCCCAGTCCCACTGCCCTGCCTGGCTGGCGGAGTGAATTCATCCTGTCGGGGAGCCTCTCCTGTCTGTGCAGTGCGCGGCCAGCCAGGGGCGGGAGGCTCATGCCAGGCCCGCCTGGTCTGAGAGTGAGCTCAGGGAGGATTCTTCTCGTGTCGGTAATGCCTCCTCTCTGAAGAGCCCAGAGTGTCTTCATGCTGATTGCTGTGTTCACCCTCAGAATAGCTTTAGAACGCGGGGATGCTTCTGCCGAGATCCCGCATGGAGAGGGACTCACCTGTCCAGGAGTTACCTGTCCACCTTGCGAGGGGCGGCAGTGAAGTTAGAACCTCTCAGGCACGGCTTATTCTGAGAGATCTTCCAGGCTGTCGGGCCATCCCAGGCCCTCAAGCCATTTCTCCCCTTTGGGCCCAGTGCCCAGCACGTCTGTGTCAGAGGCAGCCCCTGGGATGGGACAGCCATGGGTGGGCCGCAGCTCCTGAAGCCCAAGTGTTCTCTGACAGGCGCTCTCTGGCT